GGAAGCCTGCTTCTCCCTCTCCCACTCCCCCTGCTTGTGTTCCCTCTCTTGCTGTGTCTCTCTCTGTCAAATAAATAAATAAAATCTTAAAAAAACCCTATTCTACTAGCAAACTTATTAATCATTAACCTATTTTGCAAACAGTATTAAGGATGCTAATGTCCAAAAACTCCAATAAGTTAATTACTTATTGTTATTACTCATGAGTATTTTCCTCTGAATACCAACCTGTCCATTAATGTGTGTTATGTAGTACATAAAATGTGTGTTATATAGTACATAAAAACTCCAAATAACTGGAACCAAATAAAACAAAATGAGATTGTTTTGTAGTCATTTCCCTATTTGGCATTTGATAATTTCTCCAAATAGATGGACTTCCATTCAAGTTTTTTGCCACTGGAAACTGAACCTTAGCCATATTACAGACTAGAAAACAAGTGATTATTTCTAAACCATGAAAGATAAAAAGAGAATACTAACCTTCTTGTGGGAGGTCATTGGGTTACAGTGTATACAATTATATGGACTATTTTTCTACACAAATTATAACTACAGCTTCCTACTTCCTGTACAAGCTTCCTTGCTGAAGCCTCGTTATTACTCAGTGACATTGTGAGTGAGACTAACATACAATAGAGAAATAATCCTCTTTTTTCCTATTTTCATTTCCTTTTCTGTCACTATCCTTTGTTGACCCCTGTCCATCAACTGTTAGCCACAGCATGTCCCACCTGAGTTCACATGTTATTTCATTTGGCCTGGTTTTCATCCTGTTGTAATTAATAGGGTCATCCAAAGTTCTTCTCTCCCAGGGTGTGGGACTTCAGTCTTCAAATTGACCTCTCCTCTTCAAATTCTTGTCTAACAAGATTCTCAGTTAATAAGACATTTTAAAGACTTTTGAGTTTTTCTCTTTAGAGATATATTGCTGCTATACAGATGAATACTAATAGTTCTCACATAAATATCCTTTATATTTTGTTGCATTCCTCATATATGCATTTAATTATTTTCAAAATAAAGTAAGTGGACAGGGAGTCTCTTTTGGTTTCTTCCAGTGTGTTTGACATTTATGGTCATTTTGTACAAATCTATAGTTTCAGTCCTCAGAGAAACTACTCTGATTCATGTTTTAATTCAGAAAAGATGTTTTTGTGTGTGAGAGTGTGATTTTCATAAAATGGAAGCCTAAAGCTATTTTCAGTAGATTGATTTTTTTTTGTTCTAACCAACCATGAGGGAAAGAGGTTTATGAATGTAAGAGGCAAAGAAAGTTTGAAAAGTTTGAAAATAATTACCATCATGTCCTTTTAAGTTTCCTTATGTCAGGAAAATATATTGTGCTCTATTGATTGAGAATTCTTCATTGAGTATTAAAACTCAGGATGTCTCTAAGATCATGACTACCAAGAACCAGTATGCAAACTAAGCTAAAGTCAGGTTTTCAGTATGGAAATTGAAATATATCTTAATTAGGGCAATGTCCAAGTAAAATATTTTTGTATCTCTGGAAAATTATAGAGGCTGCTGCTAAGACATAATATTTTCCTAACTAGCTTTGTGACCACCTTAATTTAATGCACTTTATTAGGCAACTGAAGAGAACCAGACCATTCTATTAGGTAAATATTCAGCAAATACTAGGTATGTATTCTGAGTTCTTAAACTAATAAGACACAACTATTCTCTTTAAAAGTTTATATTTCATAAAAGAAGGTTCCAGTTATTTGGATCTTTGTACTTATTACATGACACCCATGTCATTAGACACACATACTCAAATGCCTACAAAAGAGGTATTAATGTAATAAATGGCCCAAGTGATTCCATCTGTATGCTATAGTATATAAAAGAAAGTAAAGGTATCTGCTCAATTGGGTTAATCATGAAAGTCTTCATTTTATGAAGAGGTCAAGAAATTTTAAAATCATTATAAAATGCGGGGTTGCTTTGTGAAGCATTTGGAAATGATGGATATTAGGGGATGAAATGAGTTTTTTAGTGAAAAATATTATTGGAAGCAGGAAATTGTCCACTTTGACTGAAATACATGAGCACTATAGAATAAAACAGAAGCTTATGCCTATTAGACACTGGAGAACAGGATTTATAAATTTAAGAGACAGGATTTCTAAATCTAAGAGACAAATTAAGAATACCAATCTTGCTTGTGGGAGGTGAATGTATTTGTTAATAAAATTATTTGCAATACTTTCCCACACCCATTATATACCACAACATCATACTTCTTTAAAGCTCCTTGCACTTTCAGCCCTTAGATGAATTAATGAAGACCTTCAGGTAAGTGCTGGTGAGTTTTGCTTCCCTTTTTAGGACATTTTAAAATATCCCAACATTTTTAAAGTTCTCTTTCAATGGCTTATTCTTGGCATTGGAGGTTTCCTAGAGCAGAGGGTTCTCTGAAGTCTTCAACACAAGGAATATGAAATCCAAAGATGAAGACTGTGTCATCATTAATAACTACTTTCCCCCATTCTCAGGAACACATAAAATCTGTCAAGAATCTTCCTAATCAGGGGCGCCTGGGTGGCTCAGTCATTAAGCGTCTGCCTTCGGCTCAGGTCATGATCCCAGGGTCCTGGGATCGAGCCCC